GATGGACCACGTGCGAATGGATTTCATGTGATGCATCGTTGGGCCACTCTGTGCGAACCAGCGAGTACTGAAATCCCAGCCTGTTTCAGCTGCCGATGCAACATTCGACCACATCAATTCTTTCTCCGCTGAAAAATGAAAATTAATGAACAAAAAATGTGAATTCGTGAGAAGTAAACAGTCAAAAACCTTAATTATCAAAACAATAGCTGGCCAACACACGGGCTGCTCGTACGAAGATGCATTTTTTGCATAGTTCCCCGCAGTTTTTGTTGCTACCGGCATCGGTTTTTTCGGCAAATGCTTCTAAGCTAAGCAAATTAAGAATGGCCACCAGAACTGCCAGGAAATACTCCCTTAAAATTTAAGCTTTCTAGCTTTTCAGGTTTGCGAATTAATGACTTACCCGCAAAAAACTTTCACGGGCCATACGTGAGTACCACACGGGTAAGACAATCCATTTTGGGAATGGGGGCCCGTACATGCATGCAGATTAAGTTCCCAAAGTTTCAGTCCTGCAGCTTTTGTAGGTCTTGAGATGAAAAATCGGTACAGAGGCCCAGCGCACAGACAGACAGACAGACAGACACACACACACAGACAACCTCTCGTCAGTATGCGTTTCCACATTGCATAGTTGCAAAAAACGCATAAAAAAGCAAAGGACGAAGGAAATCAAAGAATATATGACAGAGGAAAAGCACAAAAAAGTAGAAAATGAGAAATCACGTGTCAATACGAATGAAACCCGTGTTTTAGGATAAAGATGTAGCCCACTAAATCAAATCAACGAATAAGGCCCATATCAGTTGGCCTGAAGAAACGGCAGTCATAACGGCCCGGAAAGACTGGTGAGAAAAAACGCCTCTTCTCTTGGTTCTAAAGTGCTTTGTGCTTTCAAAATGTCAAAGTGCCTATGAGAATCAAAAAAAAAAATATTTCTAATCAACATTTCGAAAGAATGCAGCAGCTTCGCAAAACGACTGAAAAGCATGAAATCTGTGCTAAAAAAAAAAACTGAACAAAAGTAAGCAAAGAAATATTTAAATGTTACAGACAATTTTATTTAAATGTTACAGACAATTCATACCAATCTTCTCAAAATGAATAACTGCCAACATCAGGCCTGGCGATACGCTCATGCGTTTTTGCATAGTTCTGTGCAGCAGCAAGACCTTTCAGAACTAGAACTTCCACTGCTTCACAGTTTCATATGTGCACTTATATTTTCGTGGCTTTTTCAGCAACAATCGAGAAAGAGAGCCAACGGATGTTAGGATATACTGTAGAGCATCGCGAAAATTCAGCTTTTTAGCATTTCTGATTATCGCGAGAGGAAGATGTCAATAATTTGATAAATGGAAATATATCCACAAGCAAAGTGTAAGTGTACACCGTTAGCTTTGTAACACTGCAGATTCTGTTCAGTTTGGTCCCGGGCTAAAAGGAGGAAGCCAACTGAGTTCCAACTTGAACTTTCACTTGCTCGTATACGACACACTGGTGTGCCTTAAAGCTGAGTTTCAACTGAGATTCACATAGACAAGGAACATCCTCACAAAATTTCAACTTCCCAACCCTGCCCGGTTCTGGAAATCACTTCCCGCTAAAAATATCTTTGATGTACCCGTATTTGAGAAGTAAGAGAACATGAAGGTTCACTATGCGTCTGAAGACCCAATATAGAAGTGGCAGCCTGCTAAACTTCAGCTTCTTAGTTATCGCAGATCTAATAATCGAAACATAGAAACATACGCACAAACACACACACACACAAACACACACACGCGAACACATAAAATCCCTCCACAGTGTGCGTTTTTGCAATTCGTCAATGATGCAAAAAAAGGATCAAACACAAAAGAATGGTTTTCCCATGTATTTTCAAACAAAATTTGATTACTAGTATTTTTGGTATTCAATTACTGACACTGATACATACAAAGCCGCACTGCCACTAAGAGCCACTAAGAATGCGTAATTAAGAATTAACGAAAAATAAGCTAACTGAAGAAAACGAAAAGTTATTAACACTGATTAGTGAAGTTGAAAAGGAGTGCATCAAGAGAATAAGCAAAAACTAGAAATGATTCCGTGAGACGCAGTCAAACATAATTAAATGAAACCTTGTCGCTACTCCCAGAAAAAGATAATCGGCCAGTGCACCGACTGCCAGTGCGAAGACGCTTTTTTTAAATAGTTCCCGACAAGTTTTTGTCGCAAACGGCACCGT